TAGCAGCATTCACAGAACCCGCATAGCTTAACAGAGTCACTGTTCAGTGTTTTGGAAATGTATCTTTTGACTGTTGGGAAGGAAATTGGCTACTTAAGATGCCTTTTTGTACATTTAAATTAACTTAGTCCATCAGACTGAATAAATCCTGCTGCTGTATTAACATCCAATTATAACAGAAGAGATTGAGCAATGATTCATGTTTTGACCAGAATGTTGGCAGTTTAAGGGGGGAAAAAGAAAAGAAAGAAAAAAAAAAAAAAAGAGTAATGTATATTGAAATAAAAAAGTCAAAAATGGAAGCCAGAAAATTATGACTGAGCACATAGCAGGAGCTTTTGTGAATATATAATGGCAGAAGTGAGAGCCAAATTTCTAACAGGATTAACTGTTACTGTCTATCAGATCCAAAATCTCAATCACTTTGTTTTAAATGACTTTCTGAAGCTCATTCATACTAGAAGTAGAGAGTAAAAGCAAGGCTGGGATCTACAGAAGCTGCAGTTAAGCTGGATCAGAGGTGAGGATGACCCTGGTGTTGTGCAAAAAGCCCTTAAGTCATACATATAGCAGGTGAGCTCTAAACTATACAGCAGTCTGCAGGTTTGCCAGATTTTTTGAGATGTCCTTGGGAGCCAGAAACACATGAATGATTTCTTTGGGGACTTCTGAATGGATGTGTTGACGAAGTGAAGTATTTGTTCCAATCCTGCTGCAGCTGAGGCAGCTGGACGTGCTCACTGTTTTCTTGCTGCCCTTGAGAAGGACGTCACATCCATTTGTCTGACCCAGGCACTGGGATTACATCTCATTCTGAGAGTAGTGGGCAGGTTAGATGGTCTCCAGTGTGCTATGGACAAGGGCTTGGAAGCAGAGCAGCTCCTAGATGTCCATCAGCTGTGTGAACAGGGATCTTTAGGAGATTTAACTTAATCTCTTCAACATTTCAAAGCAACTAATATCTAAATAGTTTTTACTTAATAACTTGTTATTCAATAATAAGCTTATTCCTGGACTTCTTGCATGACCTTGCCCAGATGCCTTAGGCTTACAGCTTCTTTCAGTTGCATGAGACCTCACTTGCAGCTGTGGCTCTCGTGGATAAAATGGGAATATGTGCCACATCACTATGGGCTACAAGCACTTAGAACAACAGCAATCTCTTACCACATCCAAATTTTGCTCGAGCAAAGTGAGGCCAAAATATCAGTTAAGCTGTGACCACTGCAGAAATACACGTCTCCAACCTGGCTCATAGAGCTCTAAAATGAAGGACACTTTGCTTTTGTTAATCCTCTGTCTGCTGAGACCCTGATAATATTTGCTGCAGAACGCTGAATCAAAGTTTCACTGATGAAAGATCAGATGTGGGGATCCCCACTGAGGGTAGGAAACAAGCTTGAAATGCTTGTTAAACATTCAAAGGATGAAAAATGGGGGGGAAGGAGCAATCATGCTATGGTTTGCAGTCGAGATTTCAACATTCAGTGTTGTCCAGTCCCTTCATCCTTACAAAAAATGGCAAGGCAGCCATAATTGAGAGGTTGCATGGACTTTCCTTTTCCAGATATCTTAGGGGAAGCCTAAAAAGCTGACTGCTCCCAAGGGGCATGGTCAGTTCTCAAAACTTTCAACTTGAAAAGCTGACCTGAATTAATCACAGTTTATGTTCCAAAGGAAAATGAGACCTCTGATGTGCCTTATTTGCTTGATGTTCTTTCTCCTTTCAGCTGATGACCCCTAGGCAGCTTCTCTTTCACTTGCAGCTTCTTAGTTTTTTATAGTCTCTTCCTTAATTAATTAGAAGGTGCGACACTTACAGCCCAAGACATTTACCAGCATGGTACAATTTTAATTAGTCTCACAATAAGGCTACTTGAGGTGAACTCATAAAAGGTACTATATAGCAAAAATAACATGCAGCAATGTGAATGGTGACACAGGACACCTACTGCTTTGGCTTCCCGAGACGTGGGGTAAGGATGGGGCTTGCTGTAAGCTCACACTGCACTTTGGGACAGAGACACAAGCAATGTGTGTTCCTGCACACACAACACACTAACTGTATCCTATAGAAAATTACTCTAAGTACACAGACAAAGAAGTTTGTCTTCGATGAAGATCTCTGTTCCCAGTAGGTGCTTTCTGCCTCTGGGAGGAGCTTGGATATCCTTTGATGGCTAATTAAATAATAATAACAATAAAACCTACAGAGACAGCTTTTTATCCACTCTTTTTGTAGCAATTTGCAAGGAAATTGTAGATTTCTGTCCTCTAGGACTTCATTCTTGTTCATATGTCATAGTCACAAGTGGATTCTGACTCACAGCTTTCAAATCCAACATCACTACATTCTAGCAAAGTGCATGTTTTGAACTTTATAACCAAAACTCGCTTGTGTAAGGCAGATGTAAACTAGCTCAGACGCTGAGATCCGAAAAAGTTATCTACAGCTAATGAGGATAAATTGTGCAGCACCATATGTTAAACCAAGGTTAGTTTGGATAGCCATTACCAACTGTATTCACAACTTTCTAATTACAAGGTGGAGATTGCACAATTGATTACATCTGGATTAAGGAAGTGCAGATTTGCAGTCTTTCAAAGCTGAATTATCTGCCTCTTCTTCAAGTACTCTGATGTTCACAGTGCAGATGTGTTCAAGCTAGATGTAAGCTACATATAAGTAAAAATAAGTACATTTTTCCCAGGTGGAACTGACAGGTGGTGAAGATCAACGTACAAATAATAAGGTCTCCACCCCTTGTTATCTTCTCATTGAAGTTGTATGACTTTTTGAAAGTTGAACTGTAAGATAAGATATATTTTTGAGGTAAATGCAAGTCTAATTGGATGAAATCTTCAAGCGTATAGAAATGTATATTTGATGAACTGCGATTCCTTCTTGACCTGAAGTCTGCACCTAAAGGAATGTGGAGCTGTTGCATCCAAACCCAAGTCATCTTGCCTTTGAAACTTCTTGATACTCACAGAAGTTAGAATGACTTGATAAGCTGTTCTGATTTTCCCATTTTCATTGCTCTACGATCTGTTCTGATTATGTTCTTACGTGCCTGGCAGTGGATTGAATCTGAGAAAGGCATTTCTGCGGGTTTTACTTGACATTCACCCTTTGTCCTTAAAAGCTTTAAGCAGCCACCGTTGATTTCTTTGGGTGACTTGATACAGGCAGTGGTGCGATGGTAAATAGACTCTCGTATTTCTATCTGAAGTTCACTAAAGCTACTGCCAACAGCCAAAGGTAAAATATAAATTTTCACCTTTTCACATAGACTACGTGAGGTCTGTGTAGGGGTTAGGAAGCCCATTTCTGACAAAAATAGAAAAGATCTCCATAAATATCTGGAATTTTGTTCAGAATCTCTTTTTCTTCTTTTTCCTTAACTTCCTCCTATATATACGGAGCTTTGTGTTCTTCCATTTACAGATGCAATTAGAAAGAATCTTCAGTTCAAATTCCCTGAATGTTGCACCAAGTAAAAAATTGTCACTAGGATCTCGGTGTATTCCCTTGTCATCTGTCACGAGTCGCCGTTCTGCAGTTTACATTTGACAGTTCTCAGTGGTGTTTCGTCAGTATAATATCACACTGTATCATCTGAAGGAATAAACTCTCCCTGATGACATGAGCCAGGGTGAAGGCACTGGCAATTGACTGTGTATTATGGAAGCTCTCTGAAGCTTACTCAATGGAAAAGAGACTATCAGGTCACTGAGCCCAAAGTGTATGTTTGGTTTCAAAAGAAGTAAGGGGTTTGGGAAACCTAATAGGAATCAAAAGCCTGTGGTCCATTAAACGGGAGGTCAGCTAGACAGTCCCTTCTGTCTTTGAAATCTCTGCCTGAAATACTTTAATTAAGAAGGAAGGAAGGATGAAAGAATATAGTAAAATGCCTTATTTTGGCAGTGTGTGTGGGTGTTTTAGGTCAAACTGATACCTTCTGAGCTGCAAAGTCAGGGTAATGGCAAGCTCTGTCACTACCCAGGCTGGTAACCCCTGGGTGCTGGGAGAAACCTCTCTGGGATGGGGCAACCTTGGGTATGTGTCCAGACTGAAGAGCAGCCCTGAGGAAAGGGATGTGGGGATTCTGTACAGTGTGTGCCAGCAATGTGCCCTGGCAGCCAAAAGGGCCAACATTACCCCAGGGTGCGTCAGGCCTGACAGGAGTTTGATTCAGTGATCATTATCCTTCCGACTCAGGATTTTCTGATTCTATGACTGGTGCAACTGACTGTTGTGGTGTGAACCTAGCACTCTCTTGGGAGCAGTGGAGATGCATGAGGCCATAGGAAATAGACAAAGGCATCATGAGACCTCAGATTTCATAAGGAGAAGGAAAGAGGTGTGATTTGTAACCACAGTACAGGAAAGCATGGAGATCCAGGTTCACTACCACAGATAACACGTTTAATTTCCCCGAGGTGAAATGTCACCACAGTTTGCACCCAGGCTGCCTGATTTGCTGAATCCCCATGAAAATGTGCATGTAAGTTGAAAAGTGAGAGACCATGTAAAGAGGTCTGGATGTCAGGAAAAACTTCTCCAAAGGAGTGGCCAGGCACTGAAGCAGGCTTCCCAGTGAGGTAGTTGAATCACCATCCCTGGAGATGTTCAGGAAATGTGGAGATGTGGTGCTGAGGAACTTGGTTTAGTGGGCAATATTGGTGGTAGGTGGATGGTTGGATTAGGTGATCCTAGAGGTCTTTTCCAATGTTAATGACTGTATGATTCTATGATGCTGAGAGATCATGATCACAGAGGTGCTGATCTGAAGAGGATTTACACCATGTTGAACTCTAGAGTAATCTGCAGCCATATTCCTGCATCTGTCTTAGCCCTGCTAAACTCAGCAGAGATGTCCTTTCAGATGATAAGCACCAGGGGAAAAGGAGAGGAAGGGTGGCACTTCTGCCAAGTCATTAAGGCGATTGCAGTGTCCTATGAAAATCCTGATAATCTGTCCCCTTTCCTCCTGCAGCTCACCCGGGTGCCTGTGGAATCCTGCAGCCAATACGAGACCTGCAGCGAGTGCTTGGGCTCAGGAGACCCTCACTGTGGGTGGTGCGTGCTTCACAACACGTAAGTACCTGCTGGTGTTTGTCACCATCCCAGCCCTCCTTTGTGCCCAGCCAGTCTCCCTCTCCAACCATGGTAGCAGCTGTAAAGAGCTGTCTTGGTCCCTGGCTTAGCCAGATGAACTTAGATGTCACCCAGGCAACTTCAGCTGGGACTGTGGGATTTGATGGGGGAGTCTTTGCTTAATCAAGAAACATTTTTTAGCTGAAAATGGAAGAGAAAGGTCAGTAGAGACCGATGAGATCTCTTCAGTTGCCACATTCATAGTGTGCTGACTGCACAGGAAAATACCCATCCACTCTGATGTGTGTTGAATCAAACCCTCCAACTGCTTCTCTCTGTGTGACAAATACTTTCTTGTTTCCATATTATGGCAGTTAGGCCCTAGCTAACAGCCAGACTGGAACTTAGCTCAGCACCTGCAACTTTCCAGTATGGGGCTGAACCTCTTCTCTTTCACATTTGTCATAATCTCCAGTGCTTTTAGATAGGAATCAGTTCTCTGAGAACACTCAAGGATCTGATCCAAGTTAGATTTCAAAGAGACAGTAAAGCTTCCAACCTCACTGTGGATTGATGTTAATCCTGAAGTTGAGCATTTGTCTTCTGTGGGTCATCTCAGCTATGCTGGCCTTGCTCATTTGGCCATCATCAAGCCATGATGTTGAGCAGAGTTGTCTGTATCCACATCCTTGGGCTTCTCTGCAACAGGCCAAGAAGAGACCTCATCTCACTGTTACAGTATTCTGCAGTGCTGCCCTCTGCAGTGCCTCACAAGGAGCAGTGGATCCAAGTGTCCTCAGGATAGGAAAATTAACTAATTGGCTTTAGTTTCTGTAGACTTTCTTAATGATGTTATTGATCTTGAAGTTCCCTCTCTGCAGCCAGTGCCAGTGATCTCCTCTTGCAGAGAGCCCTCTGCCAAAGCCATGCAGGAGGAGGTGTCAGGTTGGCTGAGCTCCTGGCTATGAGTGGCAGAGTGGTCTCATTTGCCAAGAACCTCTTAGCAGAGACAGTGGCTGGAAAGTGCATTGGATCTGTCTAACCAAATGTCTCCAGCTGAGCACTGCTCTGCAGGGTGCTGTCACTCCAAGTCTCAGCATCCTTGGCAGCGATGGATGGTTATTCTGATGGTCTCTGCTATTGCAGTGTGTCTTTTCCTCTGAGTTTACCTCACAACTTTTCCTCCTGCACTGCAAACTCTACCTGTGGAAACAGTGATCCAGTTGGAAAGATCCTTTTCTCTACCTCTCCTTTTTGAAGCAGACAAAAAAGGAACAAACTTGTACCATATCCCAACCTTCTGCGGATGCTCTTTGTCTTCTATGACCCTCAGTCAAAACAGTGGCAGTCTGCTTAATTTAAGATAATTCCTAGGTGACCCAGCTCCAAACTTATCTCTGGTTTTGGGATAATTTCAAGGGATCCTTGGCAAACTAATCCTGGACTGTGATCTTATAGTTATGAAGCCCTTCAACCTTCAATCTCAGTGCTGCTGACCTGAGGATATTTTCAACTGGTATATAGCTCCATAATATGTTTCCATTTCATATCTTGCATCCATCCTGTGGAGCATTACATGGTGCTTACAGAAGGGCAGTACAGACTGTATGCAAGCATGAATTTGGCCATTGATTGTACTGTAACAATCAATGCTAGATATTTCATCTCCTACCATCCAGGGTCAGTGGCAACAAGCAATCAATGCACCCAACAGTAAATTCCCACAAGGAGAGAAAAGGGGCAGAGACAACTACAGATTGCCCAGCAACTCATTGTGAAAGAGTGGCAGAAATGTTGTGGCTGGTGATAAGTGAGAATGGCAGCCTTGACTGGACTAGGACAAGAAATCCTCATGCAAACTCAGTCCTTCAAGCAGAAATTTGTCCCCAAAGTCACCCAGATCTGGGTGACAGCAAGGTCCTCAAGTCCTCTTCTATTTGGTCACACTTAACCTCTGCTTCTTTATTTGTAAAACAGTGGCAAGGTCATTGAGATCCCTGTGGATTTTTCTGAAGCAATTGGAAAGCAAATGTTTCAGCCCCATTCCTGTCTTTTCCTTCCCTCTTTTTTCCCTTGCAGACAAGAAATCCTATTTCCAGCTCAGGTATGGCAGGGGTTTTCAGTTCAGTCTTGTGTGCCTGTCTGGGCCTAAGTTTTTTTTTAATCCTTCTGGATATCCCTAAGAGCAGAGAATCCATCTGCATCCCATTCAGCAATGTTTAGCTGTGCAGGACATTCATCGTAACAGTGCCATAACACCGAGGCCATTAACAGCTCTTATTTTTGCACATCAAAACCCCTTAAGATTCATTAACAGACTTTTCCTCATATGTGATGCTTGGTCAGCAAATTGTGATCAAGGATTTCTGGGTAAGTCTGCTTTAATATTTCCCCTCATGTGTGCTGACCCTTCTCTTTTTCCTCCTAAGAGGAATTTTGGGGCTTGGCTGAATCTAGTTCTACTGATGTGGGAACTGCTTTTGGGAAGGGCTGCAGGAGGCAAATAGGCTGTCCAAGACCTGGGACAGAATGGGACTGGAAATCAGATCTCCTCTAGGCAAGGCCATCCATTTCACACTTATTTCCCCTCCAGTATAAACCATCAGGAGAAACACTGGTGGGCTGGGAAATGACAGAAAACTGTAAGATGAACACAACATCTATCCTTCTATTTTTTCCTTATGGATCACTCATACTTTGGGATTCACACTTTAAGGGCTGATGCAGAACCTTTTCCCCAAATCCCCCATTTCCAAATGCATAAGAGGTCTGGGAACACCTGGGGACAGGTCTGCACCCAGCATCTCATGGTAGAGCTGTGCTATCTGTGCAAAGGGCTGCGTGCCAGGGCTCAGGAATCGATTTCCTCGGCTCTGCCGTCCTAACCTTACACTTAGAAACTCGAGTCCACTGAGAGAGAAAGAGACAGACAGACCCACAGACGGCTGCAGGAGAGAGGAGGGGGGCATTGATTGGCTTCTGCCTTGAGAAGAGGAGAGCTAATATAGAGCAGGTCACCGGAGCTTTTCATCTCAGTATCTTTAGTCTCAATCTTGTCGTCCCTCCCCCTTTCCCTGTTATAGCTCAGCTCCCCTCCTGGTCTCTGTTCAGGACTCTTTAGGCGGCAATGAATCATTTAGTTGGTGTAAATTGAAAATGTGGCACTCAGTTGCTGCATGAGTCTCCAGGGGAGGGTGAGGGGCCAAGGTGGGAGCTGGAGGGAGGGGAAGGTAGTTGAGGAACAAGGCTGAAAAGCTAATAGCTGGCATGGAGGCACGTGGTGCCTGGTCACAAGGTCACAGCAATGTCACCAGCCTGAAGAGTGGGCTGCAGAGAGGGACAAGAGCAGGACAGTCTTCCCTAAGCCTGAAATGAACTGCAGCATCCTCTGGTCTTAACTGGGTGTCCAAAGACTCCATTCGATATTCAAGCACTTGTGAGTCTCCATCTGCATCCAAACAACCACCCTCCTCTGACTCCTTCCCCCATCACACAGGGGCTGAGAGTGGGGAGGATCTTAGCCCCCAAGATGGGACAAAGCCTTCTGCAGCTGATGGAGCCAACATTATTATATGGTCATGATCTACCACCAGCACCAGAGCAGACATGAACAAGTGCTATTCCACATGTTCATGGTCACCACACAAGTTTCAGCCCTATGGGAAGTCTCTGTGTCATACTTAACACCCTAGCTGCCCCAAAAAATGGATATTTGAGACAAAAAGGCAGCAGCAGCCCTGCAGGGAGAGAGAATGCTTTATAAAGGCAGAAAGCACTGGCCTTGCTGGGTGAAGAAGGGACCCTCCCAGGCTCTGTCCTTTTAATTGCCCCTTCTAAATTTTGGTCATGCTGTCTCATTTCATCCTCTAATTTTGGGATAGAGAATCAAGGACCGTGCACAAGCTGTCCTTAAGGGAGGATGTTGCCCCCAGGCACCAGCCTCCTTCTGCTCTGGGATTTGCCCTTGCTGTTAAGGGGACTCCTTGGCCAGCTGATTATTAACTGCAAACATACAGAAAAATGATCCCAAATTCAGGGAGGATTTGTGCTATTTCACAACTTTTTTTTTTTTTTTTCCAATTTAAGATTTTTAATAAGAAATATTTTTGAAGTCATTTTAGAAGAGGACTATACATTTAGAAATTGGAGAATAATACTTCAGTCATTCTTATTCTGGATTTTTATTGCAGGAGAGAGCAGATCTGGGGTTTGGCTCTGTTATCCACACTCCTCTGCTCTCCTTTGTGTGTCCTTTTGGCACCCAGAAACCTCAGTTAGGGAACCGAGCTGTCTCCATTGGCTTTGTACCCCAATTGTACCCCAGCTGAAGAATGGGTGGCAGGAGATTCCTCTACTTCTGAACCGTGGGATTAGGATGGCATGGTTCCCTGCAGTCATCCTCACCTCATGAATGAAGTGATACCAGAGGGTTCTGATATGTGGATTATACCAATCACCTTCCTGGATGCCTTTGGTGGATTCTAGGTTGGCTGACTCCAGCAACATTTATTAGACTGATCTGACTACGTATTAACTACATAGCTGTAGCAGAGGTGGTGATGTTTATGAAACACTGGAGAAGCCAAATGAGGGTTTTTTGGTTTCTCCCACAAAAGATAAGCCCTGTTTGGAAGGGCTTTATGCTGTCATCTGGCAATAGAAATCTACAATGGTATCTGAGTTCTATGCCCTCTGTGCCCTTCTCTCCTGCTCTTTCTCAGATACCTTGTAGCTGAAAGGTGATGTACGCAAAAATTACCATGCTCATTCCTAACATGATATGGAAGAAAATAACACTCGAAAAACTGGTTTTCTAGAGACTGAGAGATTAGTGTGGAGGAGAAGGGAGGTTTGTAATCCCTCCTCAGATTCATTTCCTGACCAGGGAAAAAAAAACATTACGAAGTGCAGTTCCTACTGTCTCGTCTCAGCTGGTAACCCGATGCGATGCTGCTTGCAGAGGCTCATTGATCGTCCCTGGCTTTAACTTTCTTGGTCAA